AGGTTATGTGACAAGAAGTCTGTCTGCCCACACAAAAAGGAGTGCAGAGGCAATAGCAAGTAGAGGAACTGAAGTGACACTGTGTGAGCTCTCCTCCCAGACCCATCACAGGAGAGCCATAACTGCATCAGTGGCTCATCTGAACAGACATGAGGAGCACAGAGGCAGGCAGGGGAACCAAAATTACAGACTCAGAGAGACAAACACCTTGTTTGGCTCCTCCTGAAGCTGTACTGGGGTAGCCTTAGCCCCGTGGTCCAGGGGTGACATCTACCAAGAGGAGGCTCTCCAGAGCACCCCACAGACTCAGAAGGGTGTTACTGCCAAGGGATAAGGGACACAATATGAAATACAGGGGAAGAGCATTCTTAGAAAAGACTTAGGGGATGTCTAGAGCAGGAACCGAAAGGAGAGGAAGGAAGGGATCTAGGTGATCTGGGGAGGCATAAATGTGGGAAAATGTAGGGATTAGAGGGTATAAAGGGTAGCTCATGTTTAAGCAGGGCTGGTCAGCATGTATGTCTTGCCTTAACCTATGTCTGATGAGTACAGTCTGTCCTGACTTCTTATTAAATTCAATTTCTAACTATCTTCTTGGGCTAGAGACTCTTATTGGAGTCTCCTTCACTGGAGACATTCAAAACCCACCTGGATGCGTTCCTGGGTGATGTACTCTAGCTGAATCCTGCTCTGGCAGGGGGGTTGGACTAGATGATCTTTCGAGGTCCCTTCCAGCCCCTATGATTCTATGATTCTATGATTTACTGTGTACATGTGTGTGTATGGGCAGTGGGAGGGGGGGTCTAAGTGTCAGCAACTGGGATATATATATATTTCCCACTAGTGGACTTTCATCCTGATCAGTCAGAGAGAGGAACAGGATGACACTGTTAGTGCTGTTTGTGTTTGAGTGCTGTTCATGTCTGCTTGTGTGGATCTGCAAGGCTTGCTGTGTAGATGTGCTTATGTGGTGTATAGGTGCGTTTAAGTCTGTGTCAACTGAGATTGCATTCCCAGCTTTCTGTAAGGTTACATGGATGGAGAGAGCATCTTCTTTAAGGCTAAATGGTTAAGGACCTTTTCAATGTAGAAAGGGGATAATAAGGGAAAATCCGTAAAAGAGAACATACAGAGATGACACCTGACCAACAACCTAAAAGGCAGACAGTAGTGACAACCAAACCTGGTCAACTACACTGTTTGCTAAGGGAATGTGAAATGAGAGGATGTTTACTTCATTAAGATTATCTGATAGAAGTCCAGTAGGATACTAAGGAAAAAGGGGAAGCTGTAAGCAAAATCTCTGGAGACACAAACCTAGCTGAGAGTCATAATGCAGGCAAAGAAAAGAAACAGCCTTTTTCGTTGCACACGTTGGTGGGCTGTCAGAAAGCTATGGGGAACTTTGCAACTGATGAGGATGCAAACCTGAGGATCCAGGATGTTGGAGAAGTGGCACTGGAACTGTGCAAACTGCTGAAAGAATGTGCAGAGGAAGGGGTTGGAAAGGAACAAAGGAGGAATAGAGGAGAACAGAGAGAAAGGAGGAGTATAAAAGGGGCTGGCTGCATTTAAGAGGAGGCTAGTCAGTATGCTTGTCTGACAGAGCCCTATGACTGATCACCACAATCTTTTATCTTCTTATTAAATAAATCCTTTCGTAATTATCTCTCTGTCTAATCTCACCATCGCGTGTGTGTGCGATCTGCAGGGACTAAGTGCAAAGGCTTCTTGGGGGGACTGGCATGGGCTGGGCTCCAGTGGCCAGGCAGGACAAAGTCCCAGACCCAGAGCTGCAGGAGTCAGTGTCCATTCCTGACATACCTTAGCAACTTGCTACTTGTTGGACCTCAGAGCAAGGAGCCTTGGCAGCCTCACCTCTGCTGGGCTACTGAATTCAGCCCTCCCTAACACTAATATTAAACATCAGTAGGGCCTGATAATTCACTGGCTTGAAGAAGATCACATAGATTCTTCACAGCAGAAGACAGACTGATTTGCTTGCTCCTGAAGCACTGGCCTTGTGACTGCCCACCATGTGCACACTTTGAGAGGAACCATATGACACCCCTGTCACTTGTCAGCAATACTAGTTCTGCCCTCCAGCTAGCTTGTGCAATTTCTGATTTTAAGCTACTACTGGGAGATGTTTTGTCACTGTGGTGCAAATCTGCTCTGCCCTTGGTGCCTTTCGTGAGGAAGAGAAGGGTGATCTGGACATGTACTAGCTAACATGGGCTTGATTTTTATTTACAAGTTTGTTTCTAAATTCTTTTTGGTGACAGATTTCCCAAGCCTTTTAGCTGTATCCCTGAGACTCTCTAGGCTCACTTGCATGGAAATGCAAATCTTTCAGCACTGCACCCTGCTCTCATTTTTTACCTTGTATCACCTTGTACCTTAGAGAAGTATTGGGACCAGATGTCCTTATGCAGTGAAGTCCTTATGTGCTGACACAGGCTGGCACTCTCCTCTGCCTAACAGCAGCAAAAGAATAGCAGCATCAGGAGTGTGGCCCAGAGGTAGCAGGTTCCTAAAAATCATTACTAGAATGTGATTTCTAGAAAGGAGGCCTTTCCAAGGGCAATCAATGTGGCCTGTCAGTCATTCTGCTTTTACAAGAGCAGAATCTCTAGGGAAGTGTTGGGTTTTTACCCTTTTCTAACAAGAGTGCAACAGCTGGTAAGTACTTGAAATCACAGTAACCTCTAGCAGCCTGTCTCTGACTGTCGCCTATTTCCACACTTTCAACTCCACCTTTGAAACTTGCTTGCCATTTGTCCTCTTAATAAATGTTTGAGGTGTTTTAATTTTGTATTTGAGAGATGCTGTTCTTCCCTCAGCTCTTGAAAGAAAGCTGAAGTTGTGTTATCACCACTGGGTAATGAATACAGGGAGACAGTCAATTTGGGATACACTGATTAAGGTTGAGCGTGCATCTGTTTTCAAATTTTAAAAATTGGCTTTAAATCTGGCTTGAGTGGCAATCTAGTAAATAGAGGTAATTGTGTCTTAGTTTAGTCACTTTTAGGAGGTCATGCTGTTTTAAAAGTGGCACATTGTTCATTGTGTATTAATTAATTCCAGTGCAGTTTAATGATGGGCTCTCAGCTGCATGCTTCATTTCCAAGATGGATGGGAAGGACGGCTGAGCGAGCTCCAGAGGAGCACCGCTTGCTTTGATGTAGGAAGGCACGAGGCTGTGGCAGGGAGAATCTAAGGACAATGTTGTTCCAGCAGTCATGGCTGCCTGTGCACATTTTCAAGCTTGAAAGGCATTCACAGCGTTTCAGGAGAGATTAAATAGCACTGACTGTGATGGGTGACTGAACACATTTTCCTTCAGAGCTGCTCAGAAACAGCTGACAAGAGCAGTTTTAGGAAGGCTTCTAGAGAAGCTCATTGCATGTATCATTATTGCCACCTTCTGGAAAGGGAGAATAATAACTTCTGAGAAGATTTCTACTAAAATCCCACAATACACATGCCAGCTTTTTTATGTTTTGGTACACATGTTTATTCAGATTGTCTATAGAAGATAAAAGTATCTGAAAAGCAAAAGTAATGTGCTCTTGATGCTGCTGGAGAGATCATTCTACTTCAGTCTATTTCATCATTATTTTGCAATTTCTGTAGATAACCTATTTTCCACAGGCACTTGCATCTTAGGGGATTGTTTTTTTTAGCTTGTTCTTCTGAGCAGTAACATGGCAGAAAGAAAAATAACTTGGAATAAGCAATTAGCAAAGCTTGTATTTCTTTGAAGTGCTGTCTAGAATATATGTGCCCCTTGAATTTCACAGCATCTAGGTGGAGTTTTCCAGAAGCACTCATTCCTAATCTGCACCTATGGGGTTTTTTTGGTGGGATTTTTTGTTTTGTTCTGTTTTGTGGAGGATTTTTTGTGAATTGCAGTAAGAATGTTTCAGCCATGGCCAATTATTTGATAATAATCTACTTTCAGATGTATAACACTGCAACCAGACTAGCTTATTGAAGAATTGCATATAGGGAAAAGGGAAGAGCACTACTTAATTCGTGTATTAACACAGATACTAACACAGTCAAGCAATATCCAGTATGTTATTTTTATCTGTATTTTTTATGTAGTTTATATTTTTATACAGTCTCTATATGATACACAGTATATAAAATATATGTATAGCATACGTGTATATTTACATAAACATATATTTTAATATATAAAAAAGCCTAAGGAAGAATAGGAGCTAGATGGACAGCGGGTCTCAGAAGATGTAACAAACCATTTAAGAAGGGAGGCTATAAAGCAGTGACTTGCCTGTAGTTACATAGAGGAGCCTGTAGCACAGGCAGAAGAAAATTTAGATTTCCAGAATGTTAACCATGAGGCCACCTGTCCCCCTTTTGTTGTTCTGTGTCCTCCACTCCAAACTCCATAGCTTGCTTGCATCTTTGCTTGAATTTCTTGCAGAATTTCTGTAAACATTTCTAGTTCCAGGAACAAGATACCATTTTCTTCTTTCCTTCTCTTAAATTAAGTCTTCCTTTTAGCAGCTGTCATCTCAGTAATGAGACTGCCTTCTGCAGTCAGTGAGTAGATTTCAATCCTAAGCTTTAACCCTTGTAAAGCAACAACATGCCTTGAGCAATTCCTGAGAGTGCTTCTAAAATATGTTAAAACATGAGTGAGGCAGTGAGTATATTTTCCCTGTGTTCTTTCATCACAATTGAAATCACACATGAAGGTGGCAGCATTAGAGGGTTATGTGTTGCACAGCTAAACACAACAAAGGGGATATTTTAATGAAACTGCACTGAGGTAGCTTCTTCCATGCCTGAGTAAAGATTTTTAGCAGCCTTTATATATTTAATGCCTTCAAGCCAGTGTCCCACTGCAGATGATACCCATTGACAAAGACAATACATATTGTAAGGTTTCAGTCACAGACCTTAAATTCCTTTGTGGTAAACTGACTGTCTTTTTTAAAAAAAAAAAAAGTACAGACTGCCATAACAAGATGCTTTATGTTTTTTTCCTTCAGGTGAAAAATGTCTTTTGTATGAAGGCAAAGGAAGGCAGAAAAAAATCAATACGTGCCTTAGTGGCTATTGGAAATGGTAAAGGGGCTGCAGGTATGTTCATTTACTGTGTGAGAAAGATGACAAATTAATCACTGTAATATGACTTTGGGAGGCATGGTGATTTAAAAGGTCTTTTTATACTTAAAACAATTATTTAAAAATTTACCCTTTCTTTCACGTGGCAATATTGAAATACGCATAAGAACTATGAGTTTCCTATCTAGAAATCAGCTTTATAATCAAATTATGTATGTATTCATTGGAACACTTCATTTTGTGTAAGAAAAAATATGGGGAATGTAGTAATAGGTGATTAGGTTTGCAGCATATATTATCCAGCAGTAAAAACTTTTTTTTTTTTAAAAACTCCAGAGTGATGGATCTGACCACTGGTAGATCCTATCAGAAGGGATCATCTGTGCTTTCCTGTACACATTTTCTCTTTACTGTCAATACTGTTTATGTTTAAAAAACTCCAGAGTGATGGATCTGACCACTGGTAGATCCTATCAGAAGGGATCATCTGTGCTTTCCTGTACACATTTTCTCTTTACTGTCGATACTGTTTATGTTTAAAAATAACTCCAAAGACTGAAACTATTCAGCCATGTATGCATATCTGCATTTGTTTCAGCTAGCCTTAGGCATCCAACTGCAGAGTGTAGTTGGTTGCTCTCATGAAAGAAAATAATTGGGCACCTACAGAAGGTGTCTGGAATTGCAGGTGAGCTGCTGTGCCCCAGGAAGTATTCATGCCCTTGCACTGAGGTTGGAAGAAAACTCAGCTGAGTGTGCTCTTTGCAGACATACCAGTGCTTGACTAAAAGGAATCTGGGCCTCTGTTGTTAGTAGGGCAGGTAAGGGTCATAGGGAAGTAGGAGTCAGTGGATGTGAATTGTTTTTCTGGTTTTGAAAATCACTTTCATGTTGATGGGGTTCTTGGGGTTTTATTTTTATTTGCTCTAACAGCAGTGACCATTTTGCAGGAAAGGGCAGCATGATTGGTTGTGCATTTTCCTGGGTTATTTTCTAGCTAGAGTTAGTGTTTCTAAGTAGAATTAGTATAAGTCTCAGTTTGTTTTTTTCTTCTTAAGTCTCAGGATAGTCTATTGGAAATATTACTGCTATTATTTTGAAAGTGCTTGTTTACTGATAGTCTCAGCTAGCATCTTGATGCAGAAATTGTTAATGAATCTATCATATCAGAAGACCCTAACTTTCCTTCTGGTTCACCCTCTCTAAGAAGCTTTCTTATTTTTTTGAAATTAATCATGGGCTACCTAGAAACACTATATTCTTACACTTTTAGAAAAAAAATAGAATACTCAAGAGTCTTTTGAGTGTGGTCTCATAGTATCTTCAGTGATCTGTGGCTTGACCCACTTGTAGGCTTTCTCCACTATAACTCTTTGTAACAGTCTCTTCAGCAAGCAATTTGAAGTCTAACCACAAAAATGCTGTCTACAGCATAAAGTAAATGGAACAAATAAAAATAAACGTAAGGTTATGAAGTATCTTATAATACGAGCTGTGAGAAGAGACATTTTTCCTTCCACATCGAAGACTTGAGAAAGAATACTGGTCAGAGACATTCAGTTTAGTTGTGATTTCCTTGTAACAGAACATTTATGTATGCAGGGTAGTGATGACTGAGCTATCTGTAGATAGATGTGTTGGCCAGTGGGTCTAATCCCATTGATTTTTGGACTAGGCTTTTGAATACAAGGTAACCTACACCCCAGCTGACACAACAGAAACATCCAAGGATGCTAGATCTGCTGATTTGAAGTTTATTTATTGTAATTAACCTTGACATTGTTAGACTACAGAGTTTGTAAAAACAGTTGTCACACCCTTTTAGTCGTTCTTGTTGCCCCACCCTCAGCTGACCGCAAATACTCCAAGACTGCTGTGAAATCTTTTCATCACTGCCACTGTTCACCTGGTAAAAAGGAGTAGGCCTGAAGGTTCAGAGGGAATTAGGTGCTAGTTTGTAAACTGGCAGCCCATTTTTTCTCTGTTGTACAGGCATGAGTTTTTTGCAAATGCACTGTTCTGTTAAACCTGGTTTTCATATACTCTATTTCACTAGTAGAAACCCAGTGTCCTTTGCTTTTGGAATCTTGGAGCTACTCTTTGTATAGATGTAGTTGCATCTTCATCAGCTTCCTTTTTTTTCTTCATTCCCTTCATTTTTTTTAAAGCAGAAGGCTGGACTTTTTTTTTTAAGTTGAAGCAGTCACCACTATTCAGTTTTTTGGAAAAAGTTTGAACAAATGCATGAAAGAAATAACTAAACCCTTATTTTTTTTTCATTTGACAACAAGCAATTGGAATCCAACTGTTAGATATTCATAACTCCTAAAGTGTTACTTTTTGTGTGATTTTCTCTGGACCATTTTCTGCCTATGATCCGTGCCATGGAGTGGAAATGAGAGGTACTAAACTTGGTTGTGTGAAGCTCTGTCGTTTTTCCCCTTTGTTTTCTGAACGCCTTGCCTCATGGATTTCTCAGTAATGACCTTCTTTTTTATCTTGCAGGTTTTGCAATGGGAAAAGCAGGTGACAGGATGAATGCTTTACGGAAAGTATGTTGAGGGAATTATTTGTTCCTTTTAATTTTTTTAAATACTCACTAGCTTTTGTATTCTATGCAAAGAAGCAAGTCCATGTATGTAATTTGGCTATTTTGATTAAAAAATGAGATTTCCCTGCAATGAGATTGTGTTAATACAATTTCATTTCTTTCCCCTCCCTTTTGTGTGGCTTGTACCTATCCCCACCTTGCTCAGTTGTTTCCAGTATCTGTAGAGCATACAATCTGGTTATGAAGTTACCCTGTAGGACTTGTTCTCTTACACATCCTTAAGACCTTGTTAAGTGTCACACAAAGACAAAAAGGTGTGAAACGGACATGTAGCTGAACAGGTTGGTGTGACATAATGTGTGGGAGGGACACCCTGCCATTGAAGCCACAGGATTTCAGACTACAGCCCCTTGTTATCCAACAAGGAATTTAACCTCTTCTGCTGGTCCCTAGCCCTTAGACTGGGGGATATCTAAACCCAGACTTGTTAACTTTTCCCATTTATTTCTCATAGGAAGCTCGACCTGGTTGGAGCTCTCTCCACCAATTAATATATCATCAATGTACTGATACACTCTAACACCCAGTGAGATGGGAGATTTTTCTACGACTTCAGCTAGAGTGTTGTGAGCAGTGGTAGGGGAGTGCTTATACCCTTGGGGCAGCCTGTTAAATGTGTACTAAACCACTTCTCAGGTAAAACCAAATTGAGCCTTGTCACATTTTTTGGGGTGGAATAATGAAAAACCTGTCTTTTACATGATAGAGTGGCCATCCACAAGTGGGATGCTCCCTGAATCTGAATTACCAGTTCTGAAGGATTCAGCACTGCAGCAATTAAAGGAGCTGTGTTAGCATTCAGCTGCCTAAAATCCATCCTGAGCCTCCACTGGCCATTTGGCTTTTTCACTGGCCAGATGGGAGAATCATAAGACGAATGTGTGCCTTTCCTCCAGGGTGGTTTGCTACCACCTTGTCAGTTCCCAAGTTTGTGGCAGATGGCAGAGGGTATTGCTTTACGTTTGTGAGTTTCTACAGGGGTAGAGGCATAGATGCCTCTAGCAAATTTTCAATTTTAACCACGTCCCTGTCAGGTTTTTCTCCTCTACCAGCAAGACTCCATACACTGCCAGCAGGAAGTTTTCACGTCCTTCCACACAGTACGTCAAATCCCAAAATGTTAGTATTTGCAGCACCCACTGAAGCTTCAGCATGGGTGAGCCTCTGCTCACTGGGCAGCCAGTTTTGGCTATGGGACATTCCTTTATGACCCCATCAATCTCTATGTAGCCCACTTCTCAGCAACTAGGGATAAAGTTTAAATCCCCTGCCATTTTGTTAGTAACAACTGACATTTGAGAATCAGTATAAGTAAGGAAATTTACACATATTTTATGTGGTCTTACTGGAATGTTGATAATGGGTTCATTGTGTTTATTTGTGAACCATTGTAAAACCAGGATCCACTGAGAGGAGGTGGCTCACAGCCCTCCCTGAGGATACCCATTTTGTGATGGTGTAGTGTTTAAGTCTATTAAGTCCTGTGATGGGGCTGAAGGCTCAGGAGCTAAAAGCTTGGGTTTATTTTCTGCTGACTCTCCTGACGTCCTGCTGGAGAGTTAATTTTTTGGCTTAGTGGTTGTACAAGGCCAGCAGTGGATATGCCATTTAGTGCCCTGCATTTCACCCCCAGCTCCAAGGCTCTGCGCCAAAGATCATTACGTTCCCTATCAAACTTTACTTTAGAATTGGTCCCAAATGTAGAGTTACGGGGATGGACCTGCCAAACCTGCCAGGGAGGTTCCCATTGTGGTGGTTTGGGAGGTTTTGTGGAAGGCAATCCTGTCCAGCCCGTGTGACAACCAAAATTTATGATGTCTTGCACAAACTCGCCCCAGATGGGTATGCTGGCAGGCAGGAGTGGGGGACCAGTGGCTGCTGGAGCAGCAGCTGCTGTGGCACTGGAGGAATGGGTAGAGATGTGATCAGGCTGTAGGGGGTGGTTTTTGGCAGCTGCAGGCACAGTAGCCTCTTGTATGTGATCTTGAGCACTAGCAACATAGTGTTTTAAGGTTTACAGGAGACCATGGAGAAGAGAAGGTAGCCTTGCATTGTTGATGCAGACTACTATGGGGGAGTCTTGCTCTGATCTTCTCTCATACATGGCTTGAATGCAAGCTGCCTTTTGCACAAACTGGGGCAAGGTCTGAAAACCCTGCAGTCTCGGTAGCAACAGGGTCACCTTGTTCTAAGGGGTCAATCCCACCAGTGTGATATAATGGCAGTTAGCCAGTAGTTGTGATCACCTGGTATAGTGGTGAGAAACACCTCAAGGCCCCAGTAACCTCTGGCTTCATCCTCACTCAAAAGTATCTGTTCTCCCCATGTAAGGGAGACTCTCCAGACATATTCAGTCTCAGATTCCTCTGGGCACCTAGAATATTTTTCCTGTAACTTTGCCAATTCAGCAAGGGACGACGGGACACTTTGTACAGTAGAACAAGCAGTGTCTCCTCCCTCAGCTGCTGTTTCAGTTTTAATTAATGGCTGTTTAGATACAGGTTCTGGGGCACAGTCAGAGTTTTCTACTGATTCATTATTGTCCTCATCACACCAGATGTCCCCATCCCAGGAGTTAGGTTCTCACACAGCATACTAGTTTGCAGATTTGATTAGCCAAGGTAGTGGATGGCAACTGGCTTAATAAGAGCTCTAATTTTTCATGTAGTTCCTCTTCTCACCTTTTGGCCATGGCCAATAGCCTGCTGAGTTCTCTATTTTCTGTTTTTAGATCTTGATTTTCAATTGTAAGGGTGTCTACTTTAGCTGAGAGGACCTCTGCTCTTAAAGCAGTATAACCTGCATCCACAGTCGTCTTGGGGGTGAGGGCTCTTGGATCTCCTTTTGTGTGCAAGATAAACAAGCCCCTAGGATAGCAAAGGCAGTTCCTTTACTTCCCCCTTCTGCACTTTTGCTCACTATTTGTTCCACCACTTTTTCCTCATTTTGCCAGTATTTTTGGGCCCATTCTATTCCTGCTTGAGATGGTGCACGTTTATATTGTAGCAGTTTATCCATGGCTGTCCTATCTGAGGCAAATTTACTGTCACGTGAAGGCAAAAAGCTGGGGGAAGGACGTGTGAAGTGGGTATGTCACTGAATGGATCAGAGTGACACAATGTGTGGTTGAGTGGAACCCTCCTGTTGAAGCCACAGGATTTCAGACTACAGCCCCTTACTATCCAACAAACCTCATACACTGGAGTGCTGGGGGTGGCTGGGCTGCAGTCTTAGATCCCAGGTCTTCATCAACTATTTATGTCTAAAGGATCACGCGTGGTTTTGTGTACGACCACTCAACGACATTTGTGTGTCCCATTGTCCTCAAGCGAGGCCTGCTGTGAGAACATGTTCCGAAAGGGGTAAATACAAAGTAGTTAGATGCAAATGTAAGGTAATTTATGAAGGTGACAGACAGAGCAAGCCTGAGATAGCCAGTGAGAAATGCACTGACGACAACAGCACTACTAACAGCTGTTGACAGTTGCTAGCAATAATAATGACACAAAGTACAGAATACACCCAGGATGCTTTCACCCCTACGCAAAAGGTGAAAGCTGTGATATCCTACCCAAGGAGGTGTCTCTGCCTGGGGGAAGAAGAGTGGGTCAGGCCCATCCAGGGAAGGTGCTCTTCTCATCCTGAACAAGGGATTCAAAGACTAATTTAACCCTTATTGATGAGGTAGGACTTAGGTCATAACTAGCATATTGGTTGGTTCTTAACAGACTAATGATGTTTGTTAATTATGAAGAAGGTAAGGGAGATGCCCAGTGCCCACTTCACATGTAAGTTCAAGCTTGGTTAACACCCAGGACTCACTTGTCATGCAAAGCACCAGATGCAACCTCTGAGCTCTCACTTCGTTTCACAAGCCACGTGCAGTCCTGCTGTGGAGCCACCAACCTGGGTTTGATGATAAGCAAATAAGGACAGGATGGATTTTTCCCAGCCAGTGAGCTGGGCCTGTCCTCCGTACTAGACACAAATCAGCCAACTTGTTGGGTCCGAGGCTGAATGCCCAATCAGGCACTGCTCATCTCACACTGCTCTGCACAAGTCCTTCCAAGAAAGCTAAAACAAAGCACAATAGAGGTTCTGTTTTCCCACATTAAGGATCCTTTAGAGCTCAAAACTTGTCCATCTATATTAATCTAGTTTGTGTTGTAATGTTCAACTAAACTACCTAAGTAGCAATCCTAAATGCACAGTTTGATTAAGTTGATGCTATATTCAGAAATTCTTTTAAATATTAAATCTGTTAGGAGAAAGCATTTCTTTAAAGATAGCGTTTGCATTTTTTTAAAGTAAATGGTTTAAATGTGACAAACCTGTATTCCTAAGTTTTCTTGCTTTCTTTTTTTTCTCTGTAGTTAACTGAACAATGGTAAATTTCAAATACTTTACAGAAGAATTAAAGAAAAAAATGTTGTTTACTTTTGTTCCCTAGGCAAAGAATAAAGCAATACGCTGCTTACATTTTATAGAGCTGTATCAGAACCACACAAGTAAGTGTTATGATTCTTTTAGACTCCTTTAACTTTCAATAATTGCTGAATATACCAACAAGAACTGGTTGCAGCTTGTTACGAAGCGCTGTACTATTATGCATTGTGCATTACTTTGTTTCTTCAGCATGCTGTATGAAATCTTAGCCCCAGTCTGTTTTAGCTAGAAGATGGTCATGTCAGAGTACGTAGTCTGTCAACCCCTCTGTAAAATAATTCACTACTACCTGGAATTAATATGTGGTTTACTCTTTACTTTCACTCAGGTTTGTATCAACAGTTGTAGGGAAGGTCCATGAAGAAATATTATTATATACCAGGTGGTGGTGTTAAAATACTGAGAGATCAATCTCCCTTCTTTTCTCCTGCCTTTGGCATGTTTAAAATTTGGCTACTTAATCTGTTATCATTTCAGGCTTTTTAAACATGGAGGAGGTGGCAGTAGCAAGATGAGATCTCTGCTGGTGCAGTTTCAGCTAAGGAAGTCAGATACGGGCTAGGCATTTTCTCTTTGCAGTGAACTCCCCTTTGTATGCCAGAGATTACAACTTGTTAGCTCAATCCATGTAAGCTGACAAAGCCCAGCATCTGGGGAGAATGTGGGCTGGGGAAGTCAGTCTGATGCTGCATGGTGGCTTTTTGTTAATGCAATTTAATATCATGCAAGCCCTCTCTGATGTCAGGTGTGGTACTAGCATGCCAAATATTCAGTTATCTTTCAGAAGAATGTTGAAAGATAGTACATTCCAGGGCATATGAATATTTAAGTTAACGTGTTGATGAATATTCAGTATAATAAAACTTCAGCTTACAAATCCAAAACTGCAGTTATCCTCATGGGTCCATTGCTTGAGCACTAACAAGTTGGGGATTTAATTGAAAACTGGTGGTGTTTCCACCCTGCTTTTCATTTGATTCAATACAGAGGTCCTCTCTGAGCCATCTTGACTGCAATGTTAGAATCCACTAATCAGAGACTAAGTCACATAATCAGATGTATGTAACAGCCCCCCGCCTGAGGATATGTGTTTGGGGTTCCTTTTGAAGCAGAGAGAAGTGGGAAGACTGGAATGGTAAATATTCTGTGTGGAAAGTCCAAGAACACTGAAGCCTGTGGAAAAATCTTAAGTTAAAAGCTGAATTATCAGAAAATCTGAGTATGAGGAAAAAGGTTAAATTGTATCACGTGAACTGGCTTCAAAGCTAAGTGAGGATCATAGGAGGCATATAGATACTACATATTTTTCAAGTGAAACTTGGTTTTATATGCAATAGCAACATAGTATTTACAGATGTGTAAACATTCCTTATCTATAGCAGAAATTTACCTAGATTAACCTTTGTCTTTAAAGAAGTCAGAGGAGAGTAAAACCAACTTCCTGTTCCCTTCTGAAAGATACTCCTTAAATGTCCTGAAGTAAAACTTTTCTAGAAGAAAACTGGTTTACTTTTTCTCCCCTCCAGTTTACCATGACATTGCAGTGAAATTTAAAAGCACAACCATCCGCATGAAGAAGCAAAACAGAGGTAAGGAAAGCTGCTTGGAAATGTTGGAAGTTTTATTAATGGAATTACCAAATATATGTGTTTGATGAAGTTAAATTTGTGCAATGTCTGTTTACTTCGAAATGGATCATTTGGTGCTGCTCTACCATATTTTAAATGTTGAAGAAGGTTAATTATTTTTCATTAAAAATGCCTCATTTTGATGACAGGGCTTTGTTATTGTAAATCAGGGATTTCTCCTCTTACACTGGTGGGAGTTCTATTCCTGGTTTTCTCTCACGCTTCCTAAGTGTAGTTTTCCTTCTGCTCTAAATTACCTAGATGTGGAAAAGTCTAATAGCATAGATGTTGGAGACAAAGGCCTTTAAAAGAACCCAACAGGTTTTTCTTCCCACTGTATGCCCTGCTGATGCTTTCGAGAACTGATAGGCTTGTTCCATTATTTTTCAGTGACTTTTTTAATTTCTGTTTTCAAGAGGAGATTCAGAGGTGATTTAGTATGCATTAGTGGGAGTGCTTCAAATCAGAGTACAAGGTGCACCTATGTGCCTAGCCCTCCTAAGCATATACTCAGGTAGCATGGGCAGACCTTCTCCCTCAACTGCCTCAGACTATGTGTGGTCCTGAGCTAGAGCCAGGACAGCATCCAGCCTGCTACTTCCTCAAGACCATGTCTGCCTTGTTTTCCTTAAAATCAAATCTCCAGTGTGGAGAGTAGAGAGATTATCTATCCTGGCTTGCTGTCCTACACCATATCAGCACTAAGACTGTCTCAGTGTTACACAGGAACGGTGTGAGTAGTTCCATCTTTGCTAGCTGTTTCTTCACTTTGATCCCAGTTGTAGTACAGGGAAATGCTGTTTCAGGCTCCTGTAGTTTAGATGTGAGTAGTAGTGAGTCCATGCCTTGTAGCTCTCAGCTCACAGGCCTGTTCTTCCACAAAGCTACTGTTAAGTGATGTTAGATGTGCATCCACCTCCTCCAGCTGCTTCAGCCCAGAATCCTCCTTCCCAACCAGTGGAGCCCAGCCCAGGGACCGAGGGCCTCTACCTGGGCTGAGGGATGCAGTTGTCACTTTCCCATTTGAAGGCTGAACCAGAGACACACATGCACACAAGACTCTGACACAGCTGGCCACAGACAAGGGCACTGCCTTCAGCAGTGCCTTCATACAGGACTCACATAAACACAGACAGCCAGGTCAGAGATAGAAGATTACTAGTGCAGGTGATGTTTGTTATTAATTGAAGTAAGTACAATTGGGGGGGGTGGGAAATAACATAAAGGAACATAAGGGACATGCAGAATAAAAATAGAGCTTACATAACTGTGAAACAGTACGAATTAAACAAAACCAAATTCCAATTAGAGAAAAATGCTCCCCAGGTAGTCAACAGCCCAGCCTTGACACAGGCCTGCAGGACTCCTGCTGGACAGATGGGAGGGATGGAAAGGAGCACTCCCCACAGCTTATATGGGTTACAGCCTTGAACACTGGGGGGAAGAACACTGAGTAATTGGATTCACAGTATTAACATACTATTAATATATGAATGAGTCATTAGCATACTAAAGTTCACACCCACAGGCTAGAGGGACCCCTACGAACAACAAGGCCCTCACTGAGCAGGTGCAGTGAAATTCTTGAGCATTGCCACTTGAAATGGAAGCGAGGAATGAGTTGACCCATCGTGTGTGCAAATGAGAGGATGATCTTAGAGATAAAGCTCTTTCTCACATTTCGTGGTATGAAAGTGGCACTTCTGTTTCAGGAAGCTGAGCTTGCTTTGTGCCACCCTGCTCCCTGTTCTGTGCAGGACTGGATATTAGAACAAATATCTTGACTCCTTGCGCACCAGGAGTCACATCTTCTTGCACACCAGGTAGGTGACAGACCCCACTTTTAGGACAACAGAGGAACACACAGCACTTCCCAGGTTCACAAACACACATGCATTTGCAGATCACTTTAGTACCAGTGTGGTCCCTCTATCCACTCAGCACCCCTGGCCAGATTGTGGGCCCTCTTGCTCACTTCACAGGTCCCCTGCTCGCTGGCTGGTCCAGCTCAGTGCTCAGTAGCCAACACAACGCACTCACACACTTGTCCCTCATGCGCTCCACATTCATAAGTCCCCCTGGGTATACAAACACAGCCCCTGTGCCCAACTGATACCCCAGCCAAGATCTGAGGCCTCACTACTCCCCCACTAGTCCAGCTTAAAGTTTGCTAGTGAAAACACATGCACACAACATGCATACCAGGACTGGGGATGAAATGGATTTTCAGCTGCTGCAGCAGCCACCAACAGGCTGTGACTCATGGTCCTGCCTCAGCCACTGGAGAGTTTAGATAGCATTATCAATTCTCACACCCTTCCCAGTCCATGTCTCCCCTCTTTTACAGTCTTAATGGTTGCAAAGTCCAGATTGATCTTCCTGGAAGTGGCACTGGTTTCTTGATAGGCCATCAGCTAGTGGCAACATTTCTTTCTTGTCACTGTCCATGTTTGATTTGTGAGTTCTGTGTGTCTGTGGATTTTGTTTCTGGTTTCCCCCTCTTCCCTCAGTTTCCCAGTTGACAAGGTCCCCAATCATCTAACCTTGCTAGAATAAACATTCTCACACTCTCACATGCTCTTATCAATTACTGTGTCTGACCAGGTTTGGTTCTTATCACTGCCTCCCTTATCATTTATTGGTCATATCCATGCCCTCTATGTTCTTGTCACTCTCCTTTGATACACCCTTACAACTATCAGTTGACTGGAAGTGCTTGCAAATAAAATCACTTTGAGTCACTTGACACTTGTCAATAGTTGAAGCATGGCAACTCAGTGAGGTTTCTCTAACAGCTGCCACATGAACACTGACCTTCTGAAGACATGTCACTGTCTTTCTGTTGTCCCTTTCCTCACCTTAAGATCTACTGCAGTATGTGCTTTGCCAGTCATTTACAGGGATACATCCAAAGCAACCTTGCAAACTGCTGTCTTGTTCTTCAGGATTGCAATGTAAAAAAGTTTTAACATTAGGTAGTTTGGGGAGCTAAATGTTCAGTTATCTCTAATACAGTTTCTAATAATGCAGTTTTCAGTGTGACCCATTTTACTTTCTAGGGCCTTTCTGTTTTGAAGACCTACAATGATAACATGAGTTACCCTCATGGAAGAACAGCTGAGGGTAATACAGGGTCAAATAACCTTCAGCAGTCACTCCACATTTGGGATCCAGGTCCTTGGCAAGCAGCAAACTTCACCTCTTCCCTACAGCAGGGAGTTGCCCACTGCTATTAGTCTCTGCTTCCTCCCAGTGGTCTTGAATTGTTCAGGGTCAGTTGGCCCAGATGCTTTGCTTGAAAACACATCTGGCTCCTCAGCCAACTTCTTACATAGTGACAAGCCTTTAGGTGGAGCTGGAGACCTCCTCTTGGGACCAGAAGTCACTGGCTTCCATTGTTCACCTTCCCCAGAGGTTGCATTTGCCGTTCTACTGGACTCTACCAGTATGCAAACTGCTGGTGGGGTCTAGGTCTTCTAAAGCTGTTAACACCATTGAGCAGCATTTAACACATATGAAGCCCATATGGAAAAATATCTAGTGTGTGTTTTGTTCTGGGCTTCCAATGTGCAGGATAAGGTGGTTGATTCTGGGGGCCACAGGCTGTGATCCATTATAATCCCCAGCTTCTTTTTCTATTGTTGTTTAGTCAGTCTCCTCTATTTTGTACGTGTGCTTTTGATGTCTCAGCAAAGCAGTCTGCATCTGTCTTTGTTGAATTTCAGTGTTTTGTTTTCAAAGTGTTTTCAGTTTGTCAAACCTACACTGACTTCTTTGTGACCTCCAGTACACTTGCAGCCTTTCCCAAGATGATATTCTCAGCTCATTTTTTGAAGTCTCTGTTCCCCTATACAAATTTTTAATGAAAATGGTTGTAGGTAATTAAGCCATAACAAATCCACAGCTGGATTATATCTGGAAAATGCTTTTGGCCTGACATCAGACTGCTGGTAATGGAGATACATACTTTAATGATGATTAGTTCTCATTTTCCTAGGTTTTTTCTGGAGAGTATGATGCTGAATTTTGTCAAGAGTATAAGTCCAGTTCTGTCAACATTAGCACCTTAGCCTTGGCAGCTGATTGCTGTCAATTTTGGCTTGCTAACCTTTTCAGTTGCACAACACATTCACACATATGCAAGTATCCTCCAAAAACAGGAACCCCTTTTTCAGTTAATGAATATTTTCACTGTTTTGTAACTGATATAACTAGATTGTGTGTTTCCTGAAATGGCTTTGATATTGCTTAAGAAAAAAATGTGCCTATGTCTAGTGTGCTCTGGACAGCAGGTGTCATTGGTCTGATTGGGAAGTGTAGTGATAGGTCAGTGTACAAAATTTTATAGATTAATTGTGTGTGGGAGAGAGAGACTTCATTATGTGCTCATAACCAGAAAACAAGCTGTAATGTTTTATGTCCGTGCAAAATTGAGTTTTTAGGGATGGTATAAATAAAGCTCTTGCTAATTTTTTTCTTAGTCCCTGAGAGGCTTTTGTGTTCTACTCAGAGGGAAGGATTCGTAGCAGCAGTAGGAGCTGGCTATAATTTTAGAGCAATTAAATGACATGTGGACATACTACAGCACAAGATTTAACTCGAGGCAGGCCCTGGACATCAGGTCTGCCACCATTCTAGGTTGCTTCTGTTTCTAGCACATGGCAGCTGAATGGAACCTGCCAGGGGTATGGTTATCTGTGCTGCAGAAAATGAGTGTGGACAGCTCTTAATCTTCACCTCTGACTTGATCTTGTGATTAAAGTAGTTATGAGCCACATTGGTACATCTCAAAGTAGCATAAATTAGTTCCCAATGTGAATTAATAAGGGGAAAGAGATTGTCATGACAAATACACTTAGGTGGCTGTGAAGCCCAGCGTTCCCTGTCCTTCATGTTTGTGCCAGAATACAGTGGAGTTCAAGCCAGTTGCTGGGCCAGGAGAAGTGATGTCTCTGCACAGTACCCTGATAATCTGTGCTGTCTTTCTTGATGATGCAGAGTGTACTGCTGGCTTTTGTAGCCTGAGGAGGACAAGCAGATTTTTTTCATGGCTGGTGGCTGTTATATTTTGCATAGCCTGTGAAACTGGTGAATTGCTGTTGGTGAGTCAGCCTGTAACAGTGCAGTTGTAATTAATAGGTATAAGAAGTTAGTTATTTATAGTTTTCACGTTAGACCATGCCATATGTAGACTGTCTTCACATAAGCATAAAAGAATCCTTCTGTTTCCTGATGGCTTTACAGCTGTATAGTTCTGTGTCTTGAAGCCTCTTGCTTTGCATCATTACAGATGGCAGTTGATGTCCAGTTACTGTACATAGGACTCGAGCATCTGTCTGCACAAAGGACAGCAATAAAGCCTTATGTTTTAGTAGAAAAGGTAAAGTCACTGGTAGACTTCAATGTTCCTTTCTTGAGTCTCTTCCCAATCCCTGCAAAGTGGAGAATGGAGGGTACATTTAAATGACCCTCTTCTCTTACACAGGCCACGTTTAATTTAACTGCAGTAAAGCAGCATGAGTGCCACAGACAGGTTAAAAATGTCTGAGCACAACTTTGTCCCTGCAGCTGGAGTTTGCATTTGGAATCCTTTCCCTTTCGGTTTGGAATACATTTTTTTTCAGTGCCTGCAGTGGCTTCTGAGTTCATGTACTAGCAATCTGCAGAAACCTGATGGAGAGAGGATGGGAGAAAAACTGCTGGAGTATAAATGCTTTAAGTCACTGAAAAAGAAAATTAGAAACAGTCTCTCAGAGTTCATTTGCATGTAATTGTGTCTAAAACTTGACTTTGTCTTGATAGCATAGAAAGCAGTATTTTCTCAAATGGCAGAACAAATGGATTTGGATGGTTATAGTTTCTTTTTCCAATTATAGATTAAAAGAAAAATGGACATACTGGCACAATAAATCGTGCAGCACTGGAATAGATATTTTTCCCCTCACTTACTCAGCAGCAAGACTGTCCCACAGTGTGGACTAATCAATAACCTGGCTTTTCAGGATAAATTAGAGGTATCACAAAACAATATTTAAAGATTAATGGAGCTAGGCCAGCTGAAACAAATCTCTCTGAGGAACAAGAGAGCAAAATTAGACTCCTCAAAATACTGTGCTGTTGAGCTAGTGGAGCATTCATGTGATGGAGATGGATGCAGATGATATGCAAACTTCTCTTGTGTTTGTGGATTTTGAAATATGTCTCTCCTCCCCACTCACCTACAAATTTCAGATTGTTACAGTTACAGGTCCTGTGTTTCCACAGAAACACACAAACTTTTTTTTGCTATTTTATTGCTTTTAACAGTGGGTCAGAAGCAAAGAACAAATGAGTTTTGTGACACTCCTTTAAGCTTGTTTTTTTCTAGAAATAGAGAGTATTTTGCTGTCTTTCCAAAGTAGTTTTAGTTCCGAGGAGTCTGTTACCTGCTTTATTGCCATTCCCTGTCCTTCATGTTGTGCCACGATACAGTGGACTTCATGCCAGTTGCTGGGCCAGGAGAAGTGATGTCTCTGCACAGTACCCTGATAATCTGTGCTGTCTTTCTTGATCATGCAGTGTGCGCTGTTGGCTTTTGTAGCCTGAGGAGGACAAGCAGATTTTTTTCATGGCTGGTGGCTGTTATATTTTGCGTAGACTGTGAAACTGGTGAATTGCTGTTGGTGAATCAGGAGACCAGTAACAGATTCACAGTTTGGAGATCAACTACAAGGTGTGAATTTGGTGTATGTGGGTGCATTGATGCCTTCCTCAATTTGCAGGCAGCTCCAGTCCCACTTCTGCTGCTTAAACCTTTGCTTATCAAGAGCTGAATAAAAAATGCAGTAGGTTTTCTTTGTCTACCCAAAGGCCTGTGAGCAGCAAGACACACCAGTGCCAGGGGGCACTCACCCTGTTTCCTAGGAGCTCTGTGTTTAGACCAGACTTTTCTATTGGAGCATTATTGCCCATAGACTTACTTGGACTTCCCTTCTCCTTCCCTCCCTCATGTCTCTCCCTGCTCTGTATGTGATAGAGGTCTCCAGTGCAACCTCAGGCTTTAGGAAGGCACTGTAGGCCTTTCCTATCCAGCAGCAGTCAGTCTCCCTGGGAGTGAGAGTCACTGACATTGCTTCTACTGCAGGGTCCTTCTGGGAGGAAGCCCAAAGGACAGCAGTGCTTGAGCATGAGTTGTTTTGAGCAGTGACTTCACCAATGGAGCCAGGACTTAAAAGTCAGATTTACCATCATTAGGAGTTACTGAAGCTGTCATTCAGCAGTTTGTCACCTGAAATTGCAAAGGAAGCTATTTTGAAGCTATGTAAGTATTACTTTTTATAAGAGACAGCCTTGGTCAGGGTCCAGTTACATTTAGATCCTCCTCCCTCATAATTGCTTCTTTTTAGTACTCGTTAAGTAAACTTATTGCCTTGCTTCTCTGCTACTATTATTAGCAGTAGTAGTTTTGGGAAGTACTAGAGTTTTATTTTTGCGCTGAGCTGAGAGAGAGGAAGAAATTGCTTTTCATTTGGTGAGTGTTCCCAGAGGTGGTGGAATATGTTTGTGGAAGAGTCTTCTAAAGCTGCCAGTGGTATGTCTAAGGAATGCTACCCAAACCTGTGGTATTAAACAGTTATTCATGTTGCATTTGTTACGGTTTTATGTTCTGAGTTTATAGGTAATGATATTTTCATTTTGTTTTGGAATATGTGAAATAATCTATCTTTAGTATAAAAAAAATCCATTATCTTTATGTTAGCTTGGCTGCAAAGACTGGGAATAATGGTCTTCCCAGAATGGCTTGACAATGTTTAAGATATATGTGTTCTAACCTGCTAGGTAACAAAAGTACTTAAGAACTGGTCTTAGTTCTCTCTTTTTCCTTGGCTAAGTTGTATACTTACAAATCATCACGTAATGCTTATTTATATTTTTTCTCTCCAGGGTATGGTCTTCATTGCCACCGAGCTATCATCACCATCTGCAAACTAATTGGCATTAAAGATATGTATGCCAAGGTTACTGGATCCAAAAACTTGATTAACATTACCAGAGCTCTCTTTAAAGGCTTGACACAACAGGTAGATGGCACTCTCACTGGCTCTCTACATCTGGTCAAGGGATGGAATGGATTGATATTGTAGTAGTTTGTGGTCAAACACTTTATATTCCTTATATATTTTATAATTTTCCAAAGAGCAAACAAAATCAGCATGTGAGGAATTCCTGAGCAGCTGTATGAAGTTATCCTGTCAGGAGCAGCTGTATGTAACTCTGCCTTTTCCATAGCCAAGGGCCTCTAGTAGACCTCGGAATTTCTGTGCTTTTCTAGTATTTTTGGTGACATTTGAAAAATCATTGGCAGAGGAAGCCATGGCCCAGCTTTGGTTGCTGGTGCTTGTTTGTCTGCTTCCTAAGTTTTCGTTGCCTTGGGACTGAACATCACAGCTGCTTTTATCACTAGGATAAATAAGATCTCTGAAATAAATCAGGGAGTTGGTGTCATTGTCTCTAAGTCAAAACACACACAATGGAGACACTTCTGTCTGTAGTTGATGGAAAGATCCAACATGCAGCACCTCTCAGAGAGGTCTGCCACAGAATTAACAGAAGAATAGAAGAAGGACCTGCTTTCAGAGATGTACATTTGGTGTATTTTCTTGACTGCCTTGAATGGGAAAAATTCCCTATTCCCAGCAGGTACTTATTCTGTAAATTCTGAGTGTTAACAAAGCAACTTGTAAGCAAGGAAGAGGACCAGTTGAAAATAGTGTTACATTCATATTATTATATTACCTGTCAGGGCCGTAATAAGCACTTTACGATTGTCAGAGGAAAAATTTATATAAAGGCATAAACACATTCCTGTATGGTACTAACATGCCAACATGCATCCTTATTAGTAGGATGTGCCTTTTCTGGCCAGATCCTTTCCAGAAGCAAGTTCCTGTGGGATAACATAGTAATGTTAGTGTATTTGCAGTCTGATTACCTGAATTCCTGCTGCTTATGCGTTTAGCTCATTTGAAACCCATGGGGATGAGCCTGATGATTCAGTTAATTTATGCAGTGTTTAAAATGTTTATTAGTAAATTACTTTTTTTATACTACCCCATTTGTCACATAGTATTTTGACCTGAAGCAAATCAACATGGTGCATCATTGCTTTGGTTGTCTTTTCTCTTTCCTGCTCCCAGGAGACTCACCAACAATTAGCAAACCAGAAGAGTCTCTATGTCGTGGAGTTCCGGGAGGAGCAGGGCCCGCTGCCCATAGTTGTGGCACTGCCTGAGGGGACTGTCCGTGAGGATCCCGAGCCTGAAGATGAGGTTCCAGACACAAAGCTGGAGTGGAGTGAGGTGAAAGAAGCTCAGGGGATGAAGAAATCTGCCTGGGCAAATGTCCGACGGACAGTGTGGTAAAAGCTTCAGTCCCTCTGTCTCTTCTGCTTGGAGATGCAACTGGGAAAGCCCAGCCTAAAGGGACAGGTTGTCTAGGCTTACATTTCAGTGGAGGGCACCGATAGCTCTCTCATGCCATTTACATTCCTGCTCCCATTGCTACCATTCTGTAAGGCTGTTTGCTTTCCCACATTCTTCTGACCACTGTTTAATGAGGGACGTTCAGATGGAACCAGCCAGTGAACATAGATTTGACTTCAAGCATATATTTACTTGATTCCTGAAGATGATGTTTGATTGACAGATCCTATGTTTCTTTCACAAGCTCTTGGGAAACTACTGAAAAGATAAGATTGTGAAAGCAATAAAGAATCCTCAGAAAGGAGTTCATTGTTTGTTGGGGTCTTTTTTGCAAAATGCCAATGCCTGGGAGATCTGGAAGCTTGCCACAGCAGTGGGAGTTAACGTGTGTGTTCTCCCATCTCCATCCCTAACCTCACTTGTTAGGGCAGGGGAACTGTGAAATCAGAAAGTAGTTGTCTCCTGGTGGGGGTTAGGGAGGCAAGGTGATGGTGGGCAACAGCTGGAGTTTTGCAAACACTATTGATGCAAGTGGGGGAGTTCCCCGGATGAGGCAGAGCCCAAATATCTGAAGACAGCCACCCCACAGTCTCCCGTGGGATATTGCAGTGTTTTGAGTGGTATTGAAAGTCCAGTCCAAAACCTGCAATCCAGGCTTTCTTATGGTGCTGGGGTAAGACCCAACTTCATATTCTGCCAGTGTGGTACTAAACAAAGCAGTGTTTTGAACCCTACCCAGAACTCAGAAAGTGCTACAGCTGTCAGAGAATTAAAGGAAAGAGAGTCCATGATACACACCAGCCTCTGACTGGAGATGGAGCAAGGCCCTTCATTTACTGGATCTCCAACTGAAGCACACAGAGGTCCATGCCAGATGCTGGATAGCTCACTGGTTGGAGGGATCCATCATCCAAGTCCCAAGAGAAAATAACAGACTGCATCCATATGTTAGGACACTGCTCTACCTGGCAACTCCCATGTTTTTGTCTTGGGCACAGCAAGAGAGACAGTGGAACCAAACCCAAACAATGTTTTATCACAAAATGTTACAGCAATCCAGGCTTAAAAGCAACGCAGGAGTGAACTTCTGTGCCTTCCAGCCTGTGAGTGTTTGTGCATTTCTCTGTGTGCCAGCAGATCATAGAATCATAGAATGCCAAGGGCTGGTAAAATACCAGGCTGGTCTGGAATTAAAACAGGTGGTACAAGCATCTTTTTAGGAAGAAATTAGTTAGTAAGAGGGTGGCGAGACATTGGCACAGGTTGCCCAGGGAAGCTGTGGATGCCTCCTCCCTGGAAGTGTTGAAGGCCAGCTTGGATGGGGCTTTGTCCAACCTGGTTTAGTGGGAGGTGTCCCTGCCCATGCAGGAGGGTTGGAACTAGATGATCCCTTCTAACCCAAACCACTCTCTAATTCTGTGATTCAGTGCTTGAATCTCTTAGCAGAAGGGACACCAAGGAGCAGGAGGATGCCACAGTCTCAGTGCAAAGATCTGAGGTGGGGAATGGACCACAGTTGGGCCAGGAGAGAGAGAGGCAGATCAAGCCAGCCATGAATCAGACTCTCAGACGTGGAGTTTTGATCCCTCCATGGTAGTTTCATTTCCTGGTTTCACAAGTTTTGTTATTGGTATAGATGCCTGTACAGGTATTCTACCCTACCTGCAGTTTGCTCATCACTCACAGGTAAAGGTGATTGTAAAACGAGAAACATCAGCAACTCACATTTTCCATGGAACTGACCATATTTTTCTATTAAGTTTCTTTGCTTTCAGACAAGGCAAAATCTCTTCTGCAATTCAGGAAAAGATGAAAGTGCTTCTAACTCATTGCTTCACTGGAGGCAAGGTATCCAATATACAAATATTTGGGGTACAGGTAAGCTATTTATATAGGGCAAGAGCAACCAAGATCACAATCTGGGTATAGTTAATGAATAATATGTCTGTAATCTTGTTTTTATCACAGGAGCTGGGGTTTTTCCTGCCTTCAAGTGGGTAGTTTAAGTGAAGTCGCCTGCTTTCTGGAGTATGTGCCTGGAGCCCTCCTTGTTTTGCTGAGGGACCTGGAGAAGAGAAGAGATGGACACTGCAGTCACACTGCCAGTTGAAACCTGGTGGTGGCTGTGGGGATGTGATAGGCCCACTGTTTTTAAGAGTGTGATGGGACTTGTAAGTGCTCTGAAAAATGGGCTGATTTGTGGCTTTTTAAATGGGCTGCTGTGTCTGCAAGGAAATCCCAGGGATGGGAAGGATGAGTGAAATGGCCTGAGGAGGATGCTGTTGGAGATGTGGTGCCAATCTAGGGGTGGATCTGGAAATGTCTGAGCAAAGGCAGAAGCAGGGATGTAACAGCCCCATGTATTGGGCCAGGCCAGGAGGAGCCCTTCAGGCAAGGACTGCAGGTGCCTTGTGGTCAACAAACTGCAAGGGCCAATGGTGGGCAAGCAGAGCCAGGGTCTCACAGCCTGGGAAGCCATGCTACTGCACAGTTAACCCCAGACAAGCATCTTCATGGGAGGAGGACCAAGCCTGCAGTGTTCATCATGCCTGATGTTTCCATTGAGGTGGCAGCAAATCCTCAGGGCTCTCTATGGGGGCAAGAGACCTGGTGCCCATATGGTAAATGCTGTGTAAGTCCTGGGAGATCCTCTGAGTTCTGGGCAGCTTCCTTCCCTTCAGAAGCACTGAGCTGTGCCGTTTTTCAGGCAGCTACCTTGAGATTCCCAGCTTCTAGGGCCTGTGGGTCTTCATGGCTGTATTGAGGTAATAGGAGGGCTGGGCATAATGAGGAATGGAGACCTCAGGGTGCTTTCATTTTGCTTCCTAAGTGAGTTTGCAGGTGACATTAAGCTGGATGGAAGTGTCAATTTGTTTGAGGGTAGGAAGGCTTTGCAGAGAGACCTGAACAGACTGGATTGATGGGACAAGGCCAATTGTATGAGGTTTAACAAGGCCAAGTGCTGGATCCTGCAGTTTGGTCACAACAACTGTCACGATCCGTGACCTATTATATCTCCTTATTGGAGTGTATTAACTTATCAGGATTTGCTGAGAGATCCCCACGTGGGTATCGCCTCACACAGAGGA